GCTTCCAAATTGCATTTCTTCTATAGAGGCAGTGCAAAGCAATGCTAAGAAAGACCAGAAGCTTGCCCTGTATGGAGTCAGTGCAAGAAAGCATTTCAACATACAGTAAATTTTAATTACATTGAGAAAGTGATTAAGGATATTATTTAATGCTGTCCTGAGTCAGGACTAATATGTGTTCATTTAAATAAAATCAAAAATTCTGTAAGCTCGGACAGAATGCAAAAGTGAGGGCAAACCCCAGTTTGATAAAAGATCTACGATCTACAGGCCAGGCAGCCTTCCAGAGGGCAGGCATTCTCAAATGTCACTGCAATTAAGAGATGGAAAATACTTCCTGGATACACCAGCTCTGTAACTGAGTTAGCCAACTCTGGAAAAAGCTGGGCTTAGTTTTGCAGCAGCTGGGGGAGAATATATCTGTGGAGCAGGTAAACTCAAATGCAAACATATTTTTGTATAATTTAGAAAATTTACAGACTGGAACCAGAATGGCAGTTATTGAAATTGCCACAAATGCAGCTCAGTGTGCTGAGTTCAGTGAAGTTACATATAGCTAATCTTGTAAGAAGCAGAGTAGCTACCTGCCATCATTCCATGAAAATGTTGGAGGGGGAGCATAAAGTCTGGCTGAGCTTGTTTCTTCAGCCACAGGATAATGTATTTCTATTAACTCTGCTCTGCTCTACCTGACTGAAATATTTTATTCCTTTCAGTAGGTTTTTGCTCCATAAGCTTACTCATGTGCTTTAAAATACATGCTTCTCTGATTCTCTTGGTCTGTATTTGCTTTACTTAGAAGTGCTGGATACTGATACTAATACCATCACTGAAATAAGCTTGATCTCATGAGTGCTGGATGATGTTGAAATAGTGATATTGAATTAATACATGTTTGCTACTATTGTTTTTTTCTGAGAAAAGTATCTTTCTAATATCAACTTTCTTATGTCCCAGTTGAATTCTTTTACTAAGGTCTACCTTTCTAGTTCTCTCTGTCTGTTGTTTAAAACATATCAAAATAAAAACTCTATAGCCAATTATTAAGCTACAATATTTTCATATTTGTTTTTCCTACTAATAGTCTTGAAGTTTATTTGCAATGTGTAGCTTGTTTAACAAAGTCAAACTCTGTTCAGATAAAAATACCCCCATGTAAAATTTTCAGCTCCCCTGCCTATGGAGGCAGAAAAGGCAGTTTCATAATCGTTGATGGCCTGAAGCATTTGATTCCTGATTATTAGTCAATTTGTTAACTCTTCTAATTCAAATATGCAAAAGGGTGAGTAAGCAATAAACCATTTCAAATCAATCCATCTGGCAGTACATAAAATAGCTATAATGAACAGCATGTTTACAGAGCACATTTCCTACTCAGTCTAGTCATTTGCAGGATTCAGGCCACAGATGTCACAGGTTGTCTAAGAAGCATTAGATGGGAGGAGTTGACTGGATGTGAAAAGGGATTTGGAGGATAATTTATGAAGATGGATGTTTGCTGTTTATGCACACTTCATCAGCTAAGTCAGTCCAGCTGGCGCTGCTGGGACTTCTCTGCTTTCCCTGCTGCTGCTGGCCATTTGCTCTGAGTTCATAGGTGAGGGAACACAAACATATGCTTGCCAATGTATGATTTTTTAAATGATGATGTTGTCGTTTAACCCCAGATGGCAACTGGGCCCTGCTCAGCCACTCTCTTGCTCACCCTGGTGAGATCAGGTGGAGAATCGAGGGTAACAGCTTGAAAAACTCACAAGTTGACATAAAAACAGTTTAATAGGGAAAGCAAAAACCACACATGTGAGCAAAGCAAAAAAGGAATTAATTTGCTGCTTCCCATGGGCTGGAAGGTGTTCAGCCTTACAGGAGAGCAGGGCTCCATCACACAGAACAGTGACTTGTAAGATGAATGCCATTGCTCTGAATGTCCACAGCTTCCTTCATCTTCCCCCAGATTGATATACTGAGCATGATGCCATATGGTGTGGAAAATCCCTGTGTTCAGTTTGGGTCAGCTGTCCCAGCTGTGTCCCCTCCCAACTCCTCATGCAGCCCCAGCCCTCTCTCTGGTGGGGTGGGGTGAGAAGCAGAAAAGGCCTTGATGCTGTGTGATCATTGATCAGCAATAGCTACAACATCCCAGTGTTACCAGCACTGTTCCCAGCCCTACACCAGCTACTACGGAGAAAATGAACTCTATTCCAGCCAAAAGCAGAAGAGTTGATTGAGGAAGGTGTGAGGTGTCTCTAATGGAGCTCTTAGAATTTCCCATTCTCTATAGAGGCTGAAAGGAATATATTGTAGTATTTCCCTCTTCTGCAGGCACTGCAAACACACAGTCTATTGAGTTTCTGTCTTAAATATGGCAATTTTATTTTGACTTGATATACTCTGGGATCTAAGAAGATCCTGAATTCACTCCCAACATGAGAAGCTTTGTATTTGTCTCAGCCAATGCTATCAGCATAATGTCTTGGTATGATGAATCTGGACTGCCTTCAATGGGAACACAAGTCTTACTAAATAATAACAGGAATTGGCTTTGTGTATGAAAAATTATTAGGTGAATCAGTAGTAGCAGCAAAAGCAACTGAATAGCTATCTGAAAAGTAAAAACATGAAGTGCTTTTCAATGATCTTGAACAGAACAGCTAAAATCACACCAAGCTGACAGTTATACCACAATTGTGGTAGCACACTGTTTAGCAAGAATGAGCCAATTATTTTGCTTTTGAACAATGAATAACAGCAATTTTTTACAGTTATAGTCAAATTCCTTGAGTAAATATAGATGGAAGTGTTCATACATGCAGCAACAAGAGCATGTACCCTTCAGACTTTTAATGACAAAGGACAGATAATTTTCCTACATTTAGTAAGGAGAAAGTAACTGGGTTGATGCTCACATTTTATTTTGTATTTGTGCATATAGTGTTATTTTATTTCTATTATGGGCCTTGTGAGCAGACAGCTACTTCCTTTCTTCTGTGAGCTGTCTCATAGCTTTAAATTGACATCTCCTGGAGGAGAGAGACAGCATGTGACATGTGTACAGAATCCAAGATTGATAAGGGTATGCTTTTATTCATTTTAATAACTAAGAAGGAGTGAAGATTGACAGTTCAATCAGTCATTAATAAAGACTGACTTTATTCCCATTCATGAAATGGCTAGTCAGATTTTAAAACATTTAAAAACCATTATTATTATTATTATTATTATTATTATTATTATTATTATTATTATTATATTTAGTACTTTCACCTTATACGAAAAGTTTGAAAAAATCATTGTCAACAGAGTTTGAATTAGTCTGAAAATTACCCCAAAATTACTGACCTGTTTCAATTGTTGGGGTTTTTTTGGAAATATAATTTCTGTATATTTATATTTTTTGGAAATATAATTTCAGTTACAGACTGACAAGAGGCAGGAATTAAGTAAATGCTCACTGTAGTCAAACATGTCGTTAAACCTTAGCAGAGCCACAGAACTAATACATCATTCTAGACAAGAGAGGATCAAACTAGGTTATGTAACTTTTCATTTGCTGTGGATGGAGGTCTCTGGCTCACCTTGACTGAATTAAAACATTAATGAAGCGATTAATGCATACTAATCTATTGTGAAGGATTTGACAGAGTACACCCAAGCCTTGTCCCATTGGTCTCTGAGGAAAATTGATGCTGACTGTGGCTTTTGCAGGCTAACAGAGTGTAGCCTGTGTGAGAACAGCCTGGACACTCCTCTGGTGGGATGAGCAGGACCAGCTCATGGAAGAGAAAATAAACTCACATAAACCCAGCCTCAACATGTATGCACGGTAAAGGAGGAAATCATTCAACCACATAAAGTCTTTTCCTCTGTTAGCACTATTCTTCTTTCAAGTCCTTTGAAGACCTCTTCAAGCTTTCCCTCCCAAAGCAAGGTTTAGTTAGATTTGAGCAGTTTCACACCCACTTCTTTCCTTGATTGCACTGTCAAATTAGATTGATTTGTCAGTTTGCCTTATTGTCTGCTCATATTCTACAATAAGATGTCAATATCCCAGACCTAAGAAGCTTATACATTTTTTTTTTAGCAGTGAGTCACATTTTCTATGGTTTGGCTGTGGAAATCGTTGTTCTCATTCTTCTGTTGACTGGTTAGGTGAAGGGCAGATAAAGACAATCTCGTTATTTAAAAAAACCCACCTCTTGCTTTAGCTGATTGGGTGGAGAGATGGTTTAGTTCCCATAGCAACATTTTGCATCCAAACCTGCAGAAATGAGGCTTGCTACAGGCATTTCAAACATGCTGCTTTTAAAGAGCAGGTTGTAATCTACAATGTGTTTTCATTTTTGCATCTGACAGAATTATTCAGTAAATACCGGGGGGAGGAAAAATGACCAACTTTGCATCCACATATGTGAAACCGGAGCCTGGTGATATTTGGCATGCTCCAGGGCACCCCTTGAACTGCTCTTGTAGAATGCTCTGTACTATCAGGTGCCTGGACAACAGAACTTTAAGTAAACCAGTCAGCCCAAAGATCAGATGCCACTTTTGTAAGAGTTCCTTTACTTTCAGTGGAGTCAATACCACTGAGTAAAATGTTTGGAGGGAGCTGGCTGATGGGCTGAGGAAGAGTAAAACCCAAGCGGGAGGTTGTACCTCAGAGAGGTGGGGCAGCATTAGGGGATGGGCTATTGGATTCTTGCAGATAGGATGAAGGAAAAAAAATTCTTTCCCAATTCAAGGAGCTGCTGAAGGACAACACCCTTGGACAAAGATTGGAGGATAAAAGTAATATATGTTCTGGGTTTTTTCACCCTGTAAATGTTGATCATACAGTAGGAGGGGTAATTTTTGTGGGAATTGGACTTCAATGACAGAGGGACAAGACAAGGAATGTATTTTGCTTCAGGACTTTCGGTTCATTTGTGAAAAACTGGAAAATAAGGACAGGGCAGAAGAAACTTCTAGTAGTCTTTAGGGAAGATGATGCAAACTGGCCCTACCTCTTTGGCTGCCATCCAGCTGTGTTTCTCCAGACAAAACCTCTCAATCAGCACAAGTCTTGCTCAGGCAGAACTGGAAGATTCCATGTATTTATCCACTTTGGCAGGTAAACAGATCAGTGGGACAGAACATGTCAGAAGCACAGTGGTTTGGTCCAGGAAAAAATGATTAATTCCTCCAGAAGGACAAAACTGCCAATAAAATGCACACATAGAGGAATTGTTAGAGTATTTTAAGAACAGTATATTATATTAGTGATACTTTAATGGGAAATTTCATCACCTTTTCTTCATGTTTGGCTTTGGGCACTGAAAAGCAAAGTATGACATTAAGAATAACAAGAAGTTGGTGTTATTGGCAAATTCCCTAGTGGGAACAAGTTGAGAGCACTATAGTGTAGCACCATTCAGCTGGTAATGTAAAACTGTAAAATTACCCAAATATGAGAAGGCAGCAAACTGTTACCTAAAGCTCTTTGGAGGGAAGGAACTGCAGACTGATTGATTTGAGAAGTTTTGTGAAAGTAAGACACCAAAAATTATGAGTGAAAGTCAGAGGAAATAAGAAGCAGGTGTGTTCATGCTGAATGCTGGTTATTCTCCAGTTATCCAGTTTTCATCTGAGGATGGGGTAGAATTCCCACCTATCATATTCCAATTAAATGGCATTATTACATGTGGCTAAAGATCTTTGTAGATAAGCAAATTAACATGGCTTTGTCAAAACAAGCTTGAAAATAATGATACAATTCTTGTTGGTCATAATTTTTTTAGAGGGTTCTTGGAGGAGGAAGTATGTTTTTGTACAGGGACTGTTCCTGCAGACTGTGGATCAATTCCACCAATGGAATCACACATCACAATCACACATGGTTTTGTGTCCTGACTTCCTCTGAAGATGTCTGGTATTGAACAAGCATGGTAAGTAGGTTAAAACTGTAAGAGAAAAGGGGCTGATGTCAGAGTGAGTGTACTGAGGAAGAACATAAAGTTACAGCAGCAGAGGGACAGGAGAATGTGGGTGCCAAGGATTATGTACAGTCATAACAACTGATAAAAATCAGCAAAAAACACCACAAAACCCAAAAGCACAGTGATGGGATGAAAGAGTGGAAACATAAGCGGTCCTGAGGCCTGAAATGATGTTATCTCAGACAAGACAAGACAAGACAATAAATTTAATTATTTGCTGCTGTTTGGCCAGATGGCCTGGAGTTGTATCAAAAATCCCTACCTGCCACATTTCTTGGCAGGTCAGGATTCCAAACTTTTCATCTATCTTAAAATGCTTATATTTTCAAAATAAAGGGATGTAACTTAATTTTTTACAGCTCCAGAAAAAAATTGCAGAGGTCAGCAGTGCAAGGAGACAGAGCTGTTATGAGAAAAAAATTTAAAAACATGCACTGAGGTGAGTTATCTAGCACAGCCTTGGACACCAGGATCCATCTTCAAGGCAAATGCTCAGCCCTGAATTGAGAACACAGAAACTATGGCCTTGAGATGGGAACCAGACTTCACAACCTGTTGTTAGGAATCCCAAGGAGATTGTTCTCTGAAAAATCTTTCTGTTGCTGACTTTGGATAGTTTTTGGCTTATCAGGAGATTAAACATGTTCCAAAGTATTGAATCCTACTAATGGATAAAAAGCCAAGGTACTAAACACTGATGTTTGGACTACTCTAAGAACTCCATACATGTAATGTTTGCATTGTAACACCTAAATCTTGGGATTTCAACTCTTTTTTTAATCACACTCTGAGATTTTCTTCAGAAAAGAAGTAATTTCAGAGCACATATATTTTCTTGAGTGTAACTGCAGAGAAAACAAGCTAAATAATCAGAGAAGATTCCCCTATGTCTATGGTCTAGGATTATTGCTGAGGTTCTTATTCTTTGTTATTATCCCATTTCACTTATTAGTAAACTAGTAGTTGTGTCAAGCTTATGCAATCAAACCTCATGCAAGCAAGACCTGCAATTTCAATGAGGAATGTCTGGAGGAAAGGAAATCTGTTAGAGTCTGTCACAGCCGAGGTGACAGCAGGTGCATGAAGAGGGATGTGTCTCAGTGTTTTACACTGGGTAGTGGCCAAGAAGAGTTAATGACTGTAGCAGGCAGTATTCTTGGAAACACCACTGGTTTCTGTGCGTTGTCATCTTCAAACTAGACTCTGAAAACATCCTATTGTACCTGTAATATGGACATTATGACGAAACTCAGGGTTCTTCATTTTCAGGAGACAAAAGAAAGGGAAGAGGCAGCCTGAGGAAGTGAATAGGAGCACTACTGAAGTCTGTACAATCACACCAGAGAGAGTAGAAGCACCTAACAACCAGCATCAGGAGACAAATCAACATGCTAAAAGGAGGATAGCTGACACTGACATAACCAACATTACAAACTGCTAGTCATGCACATTCCACTCAAGTGACAATCCCACCAGTTGAGCACCTTAAGGCAACATTGTGCTGAGTGACACCATATACCACAAGATCAAAAGCAGCAACGTTTGACTCAGCATCACAAATGTGATGGACAAAATCTGATGGCCAGGTACTCTTCGCTTGCTGCTCTCCATGACACAGCGTTACAAATGTAATACTAATCTGCCAGCGAATATTCTCTTGCTTCAGCTAAACTGCTCCTGTCAAACTAAGTCCAAGTGAAAATGTGATGACAGTTTTCCCTAACTTGTCTGCTTTTTATTTGTTAACTATCTTGCTAGAAATGAATTTCTGTGGGCTACCTTATGCTCGCAGGACTGAGGTTTCATAAAAAAGTTACTTGATGAATGTACCGGGACACAGAGAAAACTTGAAATAATGGTTTGCCCTAAGATAAGTCACATGCTTCAGAATCTGAAATGTGTGGTGCTCTCTTCCCGAGACACAACCTGCTGCTCTGCATTTGGCTGCTCGGCACACAGGCTCACACGGGCGGTTCGTGTGCAGGTGTAACATGCCAAACGATTCACCTCCACACACCTGACGGCGGGAGCCCTGGATTCTTGCATTTAACATTATTACAGAAAGTATATAATTATTAACAATAAATACCTTTTGAGATCGGATTCTATTTTAACTTGAGAACAGCTTGTCACTCTCATGGTGTACTACAGCTTTCAGGAAAAGCAAATTACTGCTGGAATGTGTGTAATTCGCTTCGGCTGAGACTCGCTTCGTTACGAGCAGCTGGAGCACCGTGGTCCAGGTGGCTTCCCACGGTCGAAGCAGGCTGGGGCGATGCAGCCATCCAGCCCGCCGTCTCCTCGCTCACCGGAGGGAGCAGCCCCAGCCCTGCCCTGCCGTGACCCGGACCGGCCAACGCGGCGCGGCTGAGGGGCGAGCGCGCTGCTTTCCGCGGGCTCTCGCCACAGCGCTCCGGGCTCCCACGCGGCGTGACAAGGAGCCCCCGGAGCCGGGCGCCCGCTCCGCGCCTCTCCCCGGCCGCCCCGGCCGCGGGCAACGGGCGGGGGCCGCGGCCGGGGAAGGGGCCGGGCCCGCCCACGCCCGCCGCCCGGCCCCCCCGCGGCCGCGCTGCCTCGTGGCGGGCGCGGCCGTTGCGCCGCCGCTCAGCGCGGGCAGCGCGCACGGAGGGGCCGCCGCGCCGGGAGGGGCGGGAGAGCGCGGCGCCGCGGCGGGGAGCCCCCGGCGCTGCCCGCCCAGCATGCTGCGCAAGGTAAGCACCGCGCTCGCCGCCCGGCCCCGGGCGAGTCCGGCCGCGCACGGGAGCGGGGGCAGCCGCAGGTCCGCCAGGGCCCCGCCAGGTGGCGCCTTGGCACCGGGCGGCCCCCGCGGGGCAGTTGCGCCCGTGAGGGCGGGCGGGGCGCGGAGCTGCGGGCGGGGTCCGAGGGGCGAGGTCCCAGGTGCGAGCAAACTTTGCCTCTCCGGGCGGGCCGTGCACCGGTCGGAGTTGCCGTGGATGCCGGCGGCGGCGGAGAGCCGGGGCGCGGGGTGTCCCCGCAGGCCGCCGCCGCTGGCCGCGGACGCGGCTGCGGCGGCGCGGGGCGAGTGCCGAGCGCCCGGGGCGCCCGGGGCTGCGGGCGGGAGCGGCGGCGGGGCGGGCGGCCGGGGGCTTCCCCCGCCGCTATTGTTCCCTGCACGGCCGCAGAGGATCACTTGGCTGCGAGATCTCGGATAGACTTGGGCGAAGGGAACAGCTCTCCATCCACACTAGCAGCGGCGCTGGCGATGCTGTGTGTACGCGAACGCAAGGCTCTCATGACTGCCGAAGGCGCTGCTAAAAGGTGTAGAAAAATAACCCGGAGCTCTTAGCCGAGGACAGCGTGGTACCCAACCAGACCCCACTTTGGAATTGAAACCAAAAGCTATCAAAGTCCGTAGAGATCCTTTTTCTAATATCCAGCTCCAATCACTGCTCCTTCCAAAAAGGGAAGCTTCCCTTCTAGGTAGACTTGGGCGTCATCCTGAAACAGGCTGTAAAAGGATAGTGCCAGTGTAGAAGGCATGTTATCAAAAGAGTGAATCACTTTGCTCAGGCTTCTTGTCCCACTGTTGTTCCTGTCTTGCTCCCATTTTATGTGATCTTTCCAAATTTTGTTGTTACATCCTTAGGCCCATAAGCCTAAGTGTACTGTAGCTCAGACAACTGGAATAGTAAGACATCTCTCAAAATTCATGTTAAAACACATAGAAAATCTCTTCCATCACTTCCTGGTTGTTGGAGCCTGGGATCCTCTTCAGCTGTTCTGAGCCACAGATCCAGGTTGCAAAGGCTGTGCTTGTTTTGGCAGAGCCGGGGGAACACAGAATAAGCAAGATGATTTCTCTTTGTTTTGGGAGGAACCCTCTGCTTAGCTGGACTCCATAAGCCTGATACTGCTAATCTCTTTTACAAATAGCAGTATTTTACACTTAATGTTAATTATTGTGTGTTTGTTATACGGTTTGGACAAGCTGGTTAAGAGAAAGCTGATTAATTCTATCCTCTCATAGTGAAAAATGTTGAACGAATGCTTTATTTGAGTTTTATCTTCTTCCACTGCCCATCATAGTCCTATGCTAAGGAG